TGCTGGAACGACTTGGGGCGGCCTGGCGACCACTTGCGCGTAACTCAGGGGCGCAGGAGCCGGAGGCTGTGGAGGGTGGTACGCAGGCATTACCTCCACTGTTTCCTGTTGAATCGCTCAACGGATGGGAGGAAGAACGGTAGTAGGCGATTGTTGAACAGTCGGTTGGTGGGCAAAGGGCAGGAGCGAGAACTGACGCGCGATTTCCTCGCGGATGAAGGACTTCAGGTCTGCCATCAACGCCACTTGGTCACAACTGGCCTCCAAGCCAGCAAGCGTTGCAGCTCGTTGTGGGGAGCGTCGGGTCATCGAACGCTGCCGGCGGAGCTCCTCGTAGCTCTGGCACAGTGTGATGACCTCAGCCACTGTGCCGGGGTTTTTGGCGAGCAGCATCGCGAAGGCATCATCGTCAATGCCTTTCATGATGTTTCGAATCTTGTCAGACTCGGACATGGTGGGATTAGATTTGTTGCATAGGTCCAGGACGTCTTCAATATAGCTGGTGAATGACTCACCAGCCTCCTGAGCACGTTCACGTAAGCGCTGCTCGGCTTGCAGTTTGCGAACAGCAGGGCGGCCGAAGACGTTGATGATTGCGGTCTTAAAATTGGACCAGGTGGCAAAATCGGACGCGTGGTTGTTGTACCACAAACTGGCAACACCCGTAAGGTAGAATACCAAGTTGGTCAGCTTGCCGTCCTCGTCCCATTTGTTGGGGATGCTCACGCGCTCGTAAATGGCAAGCCAGTCCTCCACGTCAGTGCCATCAGCGCCAGTGAAGATGGGTGGATCGCGGATTCTGGGGACACCGGGACAAGGGGGTGGCATTGGAGGAGGCGTTTGCTGAGAAGCGTCGTGGTACATAGTAGATGGCAGGGTACGTGATCGTAGCTCCAAAGGCATAGACAGGGATCGCAGCACTCTCCACCAAATTGTTACGGCGTTTATTAGCCGGCAACGAGCGAGAATATACAATGGCGACAGTCACAGCCAAGCACGGGCTCTCAGCGCGAGCGGCGTCCTTGTTGGGTAGCCCCACTAGAGGGTATTCAAGAGCTCGACACATTTCCGAGTTCGGAGGCTTCGCTACATGTGTAATTATTCTCAGGCTGTTTTTAGTTGGCTGCAGGCAGAAGACATCTACCGGTGATCTCTAGTTTACTGTGTGTGCAGAAGAGACCGAAAAGCCTCTGCAATAATGACAGCTCTCTGTTTTATAATGAACTATGTGTTGCGGTGATTCAACATTGATCCATTAATATTCAAAGGAATAATTTGGTGCATATTTGTATCAGGCAGTCTGATTTGCTTCGTCTGGAGCTTAGTGTGAGATTAGGTTGCTAAGATGTGAGCCATTTATTTAGTCGAAAGTGCGTTCGAAAGTTCTGTAGTTATTATCAACTAAAAAGTCTTGCAATACTTTTTGAACACTGAAAATACTGGCAATCATTTCTCAACATTTTTGTCCACATGCCAGCCACATTCCAGCCAACCTCAGTCGTCGACTGCTGGAAGTATATCGGGTAATAATGCTTTATGTCGGTGGGTATTTATTACTTGTGTCACTGCTGACTTGCACCTACCCGTGTGGTGGCCTGTCTCCTCTTGGTATTCACTTTCTACAAAGTGTGGAGCTACCCGCAGACCATGGGCTTAATCCAGGTCACCGGGTTTGCATTTTTGTTGGATGCGAAAGATACTGGAACCTCGTATACTAGTTATGCGTAACTTGAATGCATGTTAAAGAGGTCAAAATCGTTGGGTACATCCACTGCGGTATCCAGATTACTATTATTGTGGCTATTGCACGTAAAATCTAAGAAATTCTTCTAAAAAAATAAGAGCTGTGTATCATGCTATGTCCTCCGGAACGAGAGCTGCCTTTTTCGGTGAGCACTTTCCATCCTCAACATTGGTCTTAACAGTAAAGTGCGGCGATCATGAATTGAGTCGCAACAGGAGCGTCGCAGAGCTTGCGTTATCAGCTAGTTTGAAATACAATGGTTGAATCACGGAACAATTCTCTTTCCGATGCCTATGGTTTTCCTACTTGGCCAGTGGTTACAGTGATTTGAATTGATATGTGGGGTTTAACGTCCAAAAACCACCGTGTGATTATGAGAGACGCCGTAGTGGAGGGCTCTAGAAATTTCGACCACCTGGGGTTTTTTAACGTGTACCCAAATGGTCATTGGCCTACAGCGTTTTCGCCTCCATGAGAAATGCAGCCGCCGCAGCCGGGATTTGATCCCGCGACCCGCGGGTCAGAAGCCGAGTACCTTAGCCCCCAGACCACCGCAGGCGGTGGGGAGTGGTTACAGTGACGGTCCGTCTGTGTTATCAACGCGATCAGCCAGCAGTCAGGGGTGAATGACAACAAAACGATGCCATAAGGCATCGCTCCGCGATATCACTCCGACTCTCGCTCGACGGGCGCATCGCTTGGAAGATAACGTTTATTCGTGCAACGCTGCGTGGTGCGCGGAGTACGCTCGGGTGCTCCGTCAAGCACAGAACAGCCGGAGCGGACGAGCGGTGATGGTGGCTCGAAGCATCAGCGGCTGTCGCAAGCGCGAAGGGTGCATCAGGGATCGCGAAGCGGAGAGGCTTGGTGATGGCGAAGATAAGGCCACGCCTGCGCTAGCGCTCCAGAGGAGGTTGTGCTAAAGCCCCAACTCCACGCACGCGTTCGCGCGCGAGATTCCACGCGCTCACGCGCCTATGCGCTACCACATGACGGCCGGAGACGGCGCGCCAGGCGAAGCGCGCGCGTTCGGAAAGATCTGGCTATGCCAGATATTTTTACACGCGCCGGAAGTTGCTCCCTCGGCAGCAGCCAATAAACGCCGCTGCCGCGGGCTTCCGCTCCTCCTGTCTCTCAGCCGCAATGGCCGCCCTCTGCAAGTTGTCGGCGATGACGGTCGATAACGAAAAACTAATCTCTTGTGTGGCCAGCCGGACGTCCTTGTGGCTGGCCACGCACAAGGACCACAAGAATCGGCAAGTCAAAGATGCCCTGTGGAAAAAAGTGGGTCAAATAATGTATACGGGGAAGGCCAGCAAAGGTACGTACGGCGCGTTTCCGCCGGCTTGACAGGTTGTGTTGAAAGCAGTGGCTGACATTTCATTTCGTCTACGCAGAGTGCATCACTCCGCTGCAAAAGCGCTGGAAGTTTTTTCGGGACAAGTTCCGAAGGCTGTTCGTGCTAGCCCAGAAAAAAAAGAAAAGCGGCATGGGCACGGAAGACGCCGACTCCGACACCGAAGATGAGGGCGATGAAGGGAACCCGCCTGCCGACAGTGCAGTGCAGCCGGCTTCGTGGCCCTTTTACGAGCAGCTGGTGTTCCTGCGCGACACCATGACCTTCCGAGAGTAAGTTTATTGACGCTTTTATTGGTATTACGAACTAGCGAAAGAGAAAAGCTGGCGTATTTTTCGCGTTTAATAAAGTAGCTTGTGATTGAGAGCCGCCTTGCCGCTTTCGGGAATGCTGGCGAAAGTTGCTAATACGCCACAAAATTTTACACGAAACGCGACGAGTAAAGGTAAGAACGCACAAAGAGTGCTTCTTGCGTATGTGTACTTCTGTCCTGTGCACACCCAATGTGCATACTTTTGCGCCGTGCCCCGCGTTCCCGCACCAGAATAGTGTTGATTATTGAAAGCTAAAAATTGCTTGCAACAGTACCAAAACCGCATCTGTAACGTGCGGTGTAATGCGAGGTTTAAACTAGGGATGCTGTAAAAGTGGAAACCTACAGTAATTAAAACTTGCTTGATTATGTCACGCTGAAGCCAACAAAAGTGAGCATTTTATTGCTCACAGTGATTGGTGGGGCCGCTCATTAGAGAAGCAGTTTTGTCCAGATGCAGAAGTGATTACCTTGCAGTTCTTGGAAGCATATAGAAATTCTACACTACTCAGATGTACAAGTGGTGCCAAAGGTGCCCAAACCCTGTTGCATACAGTCATTATGCTGGACATCTTTCAGACAGCTGTAGAGGATGCAAACAGGGGGTAGATCTTGCACATACATTATGGGAATTGCTTCGAGCTATCTCTTAGAACCACATCATTGTTAGTGATGAGCAGTGGGAGACTGCTCCTCAGCTCAGATCCGGCAGATCAGTTCTGGGACATTCAGTTAGCCGAAGACTCTACTAGGACCCAAAGGCACCTGGCTGATGCCTAGGATGGAAGGTTAGCCCTACTAAACTGGACAAAGAAATCTACTTTCCCTCTCCCCCCTTATAATGAAAAACAAAACAATTATAGTGTTCGCACACACTATGCTGTAGTGTAACAAGCATGCTTTTATTAACAATGGAAACGTTGGCATGTTTGACGTTGCATTAACGATCGCCTGTGTAAACACACTAACTTGCTGAAAGGGTCTGCCGGCAGCCGCAAGTTAAAAAAGGAACTCAGAATGGCATGCGAGATCCATGAGGCGTTCTGTATAACACAATGCAGCAATGAGTGTGCTAGTACACAAACTATGGTTGTAAGAAGCATACATTTATTAACAGTGGGAATATTTTGCCATCCTTCAGGGCAAACATTGACACTTTTTTACACACCTATACCCTAATACATACACCTTCATTTTTGCTATGCAGGACTTCTGGAAATTTCGAGTCCCAGAGGAGGCAAAGGAAGGATGATGTTCAACAGGTGGCACGGCAGGAGACCCCGGAAACCCTTTTTAGAGACATGTGTCCGAGCCAGTTTGACACCATCGAGTTAGATCAGACTGATGACCCCGCCGATCTCTATCCAGCGCCGGCGGTGTCAGTTGAGTGTAGTCCGTCGCTGCTGGAACCAGGAATGTAATCCCTTGAAGCGACGCAGTCAAGTGAGTCGGCACCATCACCGCTGGGAACTGCTTCACCGCTTGGGTTGGCGGCAACGTCACTGGAAAGCCAGGGGTCCAGCCTTGCCAGCATGTCTGTCATGCAGCCACCCAAAAAAAAAAAGACAAAAGAAAGACGACAAAGACAGTTTACTTGTAGAGCACCTTGGAAAACTTACATACAGTCTAGAGGACCAGGACGACCATCATTATTTTGCATTGTCGCTCGTGAAATCAATGAGAAAAGTAAAAGAGGAAGACCACTTGCGCATGCACATGAAGATTCTGGAAGTGATCCGGCAATTAAACAGTAGCTGAAGTGTGGTGCTTCTTGTCCTTAGAGCTGACAAAGCGTGGGCATAGAGAATGAGGCATGTTGCATTATGAGGCATGGTGCAATATGAGTGGGCCAACATTACATGGCTAAACATGATTCAGGGTGTCTTTGCTATTAAAGGAGAAGTTTAGCTTCAGCAAAATGGGTGCAGCCCCTGCTCTTCCAAGCGCTTCAGGGCCCCTTGTTTGGAGACTCCGGGCTGGTGCCACTGCCACGGTACCTCTCCAGCGCTGCTGCAAAAGTAGGCCGAGAAAAGCGTCCTGGCATCCGCAGCATCTGCACTGAAGTTCCGTGACTGGGATCCCTGAAGCGGGAAATAGCAGGGGTCCACATGCCCCTGCCCCGACGTCTGCTGGATGCCCTGCCTCCACCGTCCTGGAACCACATTTCCGAACCTGTCCTCTTGGTCGAGGATCTGGTCCGATTCCTCATTTAGGACCGCTAAGAAATTATGCAGTATACATGCTGCCTTCACTACATAATCCACATTCTTGGGGAGAAGCTGAATGGTGCGGAGCAGTATGCGCCACCTGGCCGCTGTGATGCCGAAGGCGTTTTCAGCACACCTCCTGGTAAAATGAAATAATAGTACAAAACAGGTTTTAGAAGCAGCCACCTTTCAAATCCGATTCATTAGACTATTTTTGAAACTGCAGCTACAAGAATGGCAACGTAAAATGGGCACAGTGCTCATAAGCTCGCGTTTTTTTAGAATAAAAGCCCTATGCTCTATAATTGTACATAAAGAAATATTTTGCGCTTATTTCTGTACGGCCTTTTAGAGAAGCAACGTGAACAGCTAATTCAAATCAGCATTTATGTTTGTAATGTAAGGTTAATCACAAGTCGCACAAGCTGCTACGCATGCCCTATTTTTTCTGAGCTGGGTAAAGGACACTTGTTATTGAGATGGGGTCACAAACATTGTGCACGGTGCACACCTCAATTTGACTTGTGCTTGCGAGATCGTTTTCTCATAATGATGGTTTGTACTAAGTGTGGTGAGCTTTCTATGTGCCCCTTCTGTTTTTAGATGTTTTTCTTCTGAACTGTTTTCGTTCAGCTGCTTTGTCCGCAAGTTAGAGCCACTGTTCTTGAGCTACGGGGTTGACTATATGCACTATATTGTGAAATTAGAGCCACTGTTTTTAAGCTATGTATTTTGTGTTCATTGTTTTTATTTTTCTTCATCGATGTCTTGATGCGAAGTGTGCATTAAACGTTATTTCAAGTGCTTTCTGTGTTTGTATAAAATTGAGTATGGCAGGCTCAGCATACCCAATAAAAAGTGCCTGATATCATACCGTGCTCGGCTTAGTCTGTAATTGAACACTCTTCGTTCATCTTCAAGGAGTCTAGCAGGGAAAGGGCGCATAAAGTCGCGCCGCAGCTGGAACGCTTCATCCCCGACGAAAGCGTACGGCGCCACCTTTGTGGTGCCTGGGAGCTGCCCCAGTGAGGGGATGTCAAGCTGCCCTTCCGTTAGGGCCTTCCCAAACTTCGTGTTCTTGAACACTCCGCCGTCACTCTGGCGGCCCTCTGCCCCAATATCGACCAGCACGAACTTCGAAGAGCTGTCGACCACGGCCATCAGCACAATGGAGAAAGTACCCTGCAGCAGTAGGCGTCAGACCAAACATTAGCACATGTAAAGTTGTATGTGTAGGTGGGACCTACAATAATAAGCGATTACAAAGAAAAAGTATGACAAAATTTAGAAAATCACCTATGCTGGCCACGCATTTATTTGTACCAGCTCATTGTGAAAGATTTCTGGCATGCACAGTGATAATTTAATTTAGCCATAAGGGCTCTGAAAAACACCTCTGTTGAAATTAAATTTCAAAGTAAACATCAAATCAAGCTGTCATGAGTACCTGCCGCAGCACTGGAAGAATACTGCATACATGAAGTATTCTGGCAAAACGACTTAGACCACGGGGCTGTATTCCTTCGTTTTGGCAAACTGCGAGCTCAGTCCCCTTCTCTGCCTCCCTCTCTTCTCTGCTTTCTGGAGCCCATGTGCACCATTCAAAAGTGGTACATAAGAAAAAAAAGTATAGCATTGCAGGGCAAGGCTCTGGACGTTGTCCAAGCATTTTAAATTAGAAGGTAATTTAAGAAAGGGGTGAAGAATTTTAGGCAACTTCCTGCATTACAGAGTTTGGAAGCTTACTGAAATGAAAATAACTAAGACAACTTTTTATACCACTGCACTTAGCAACATTTCTTTTTTAATTGTCACAGTTACGCTACTGGCACCGCACCCCTACAAATGGGTGGTGCACATTGGCTGTCTATGTTGCCACCACACATTCTCCAGCAGACAAGGGCACACTACCCCTCCCGCATTAATGCTGTTCGTTTCAGTATACGTGCATAAATGGCCAGAGTGACTTACCTTGTAATTGAAGAAGGCACTTCCAGATTTCGGCGGGCAGGTGATGGCGACGTGCTTCCCGTCAACAGCCCCCAAATAGTTTGGGAACTGCCAACGCCGGGTGAAGTCGCCAGCAATCTTGGCCCAGTCAGCCTTTGTTGGTACCTGGAATAAATTGGAAACCAGGAACAAACTTGTAGGCCAAACAGACCTATTTTTAGCTAAATATTTTTGTGAGGTGGAATGTGAAAAAATGACATTCACTTTTTTCTTGTGCATGCTCTTTGGGCATGGATCCACGGCATGGTGAACCAAATTTTGTACAAGGTGTAAGCTTCCAATCATGCTGAAGGCATGGTGTCACCTTTGTTGCCCAGTTGTACACGGTCAACGCAGTGAATTTTACCACCCCATTTTTTATTTCGACAACACAAAGGTGTGATTACTGCATTTTGAAAGCCAGAGTAATCAAATAGACATAGTTCACCAGGCTTTCAAAGCCCATAGGGATATACTGTATTTGCTAATCACAATTGCCTTAGGCACTGTTAATAATAAAATTTTTTTCATTTAAACAGAGTCTTCGAAGGAATTGTTTGTACTGCAGATATGAAGTGTACATTTACTGAAAGAAAATTTTATACAGGCTCTGACGTTACCCACCTTCATAAAGTGGTCCTTCAGGCAAGCCCAAATGGCTCTACAGGTCACGTGAATGCTTCTCCGATCAGTTTCAATGCCGACACGGTAGGCGAGGGCCACGTTGCAGATGTCCAGCCCTGAAGCCAGGTAGCTGCAACACAGAAAAAGTAATTTCTTCTCTGATTCACAATACATGGCCAGCACAACTGCAACAAAAGTGTTTGATAACATGCAAACTCTGAACAGGATTGCCTCTTTAGGTAACAAGCAAATGGTAATATTGCTTTCTGACACGAAGGGGCATCTATATTAAAAAAGTTTGAAGACTTGGCCAATGTGAGAAAGCATGAATGATTTCAACGCCCATTTCGCCATTTCACAATGCAAAAGCCATTTGTATAAGCTGACGTATGCATCTATGATCTGTTCACTGACATGTTTATGTTCTTGCATCAGCATCGGAACCCAACCTGTACCAACCTCAAGGTTATTGCAAGCTTTTCGCCTGGCTCCAGGGGCTCTCGTATGAAGTGCTGCCGTGTCAAGTCCGCAGTAACAAAGCCCAGCAACTTGTCGAACAGCGCGGGTGACATGCGTTAAAACTTAAAAAAAAAAACTGCTGGTCGCCTTCCCGCATTCGACGCATCTGTAGGGAGAAAGAAAGTGTACTGTTGAAGATGGACACAACCATTTTAGTTACTTGTACACCGGGTAAGCCAGCTCCAACGGGCTATGAAAAGGGTAGATAATTCATCATGCATTTACAAGATGCACAGGTACTATCTTTAAGGGAGCTAGCTCATGTCGCAGCTACAAAATCTGGTGAATAAAATGGGGCATCTAGAACACTCTGGAATTTTATTTTAATTTATACGAAGCGCATTAAACGTTTTCTTAGCGCGGCACACATTGTTTAACCTCTTTTGCGTAAAAAGAAACACGCTAGCAGCGGGTTACAAGGCGGCGGAATGCTTCGCTCGCGCAAACAAAGCGCCGACAACAGACGAGAAGCGAGCGGTTACAACGTGTGCACCCCACTGTTGGTCATGACGCTATACAGCTTTCAGAAAACACAAACGAAAATTCCCGTTGTGACTAACCAACTCAGCTAACCATGCCTACAATAATAGGGCTAGCATTAATGCACTGCGAAATAGCAACACGATACTCACGGCTGTGTGGTACAGGCCTTCCTGTTTTCGCGCCAAGAAGACAGGCCGCACCCAGCAACGGTGCTCTCGTTGCCTTCGCTGCCGCCTTCTGACGATTGCCTTCGCTACTCGCGTAGCTAGCAGGAACAGATGGCTGCGAGTCAGCGTTGCGACCATTTTCCCTCGATGAAGCAGGATAAACGGAAGCGGGCTTGAAAAGAGCGGTAAGCAAAACCAGACGAGGCGATGTCGAAACACTGCGCTACCGAGTAAACAAAACCGCCGACTTGGCTCGGATGCTCGGCTCGTGGCTAGGCTCGGCTGCTGTGTGTGTGTGTCAAGTCGTGTCGATAGTTCGCGTCGACAAGAAACAGTTTTTTCGGCGTCTCAAATTGAAAAAGAAATGCTTTTATGCGTTTTAGTAACTATTATGCGGCTTGTTAGTAGTGCGCATATGTGTCTGTAGTCAGGCAGTTCTGGCCAGTGTGGTCTAGCGACATTGGGCTGCGCAAGTCGAGCGCGGGGCGGTGAGCGCTCGCGCGCCTCTCATGTGGTTGCTCGCCCTCCCCCTTCACAGGCGCCCCAAACGCATGAGCGCGCCAGCGCGTAGAATCTCGCGCGCGAACGCGTGCGTGGAGTTGGGGCTTAATAGCTTTGACACCCCGCTCTGGGGAGACAGCTGGCGCCGCAATCGTCTCTCGACACTGCGCCGCACGCTGCAGATCCAGCATTGCGGCCGACATTACTACCTTGGAGTAACAATGCTGCCATCGCCACCCGCATTTTTTGGATCTCTTCTGAGCATGTGAGTGAATGTTGGAATATATTACAGCAGTAGCTACTTTACTAACAGTGGTCGCGGGTTCGATACCGGACCTCACAATCGCATTTTCGTAGAGGTGAAATGCTAGAGGCACGCATGTACTGTGCGATGCCACTGCAAGTTAAAGAGCGCCACATGGGCGATATTTCGAGAGCCTATCATTATCTTGTCCTGGTTAAGGGACGTGTGCTTGCCTACGACACTATCACAGCCAAGTATGATGTTCTCATTTGGGAGGGGGGTGAAGGTTCATTGCAGAGCTTTCACCCCCTCCCAATTAAGTAAGCACCTAGGTCATGATGACCTCGGCCAAGTTTTGCACTCCTTCTGTTTTCTAGGTGACTAAGAAAAGAAGGGGGGCAAAACCCCTTGTCTCCACAGTATTCACTCCTATGTTAACGATCGTCTTGCACGTTCACAATAACATTGTCACACGGGTGGGGAAAAAAATTGCCCGCAGCTTCCCTCGGGGGAACACTGAGGAGGATGTGGAGCATATAATTGGTTAACGGGGTGTTAAAGTGCGACTTACTTGGGTCGATGGCTAAATTGGTTAACGTGGTTGTGAAATGGGGTGTTAAATTGCGACTTACTTGGGTCGCTGGCTAAATTGGTTAACGTGGTTGTAGGAGGGGTGTTAAATGAGTGAACACGTACGACACGTATGCGAAAGGGCGGTGTTTATTTATTGCGACGAACTTTGAGCACGATGGCTTTTTGGTCGGTAAAGTGAAGAGTGAGTATGCAAAGACGTGGTCGATGCAGGTTCCGCGAATGGTGGTCGGCTGGTGGTGTTTGCAGTCGTCGTGCGTTGCGCGTTTCAGCGAGTGTCGCGACGCCATGTATTCGACTATCCAATCGTCCTTGATGACGTCGACGTTGAAGTCGCCAACTAGCATGAACGGTCGATGTTGCGGTTGTTGTTTTCTGTAATCTTGCACGGGCTCGTCGACGTACTTTTGTACGGCGGCACGAGAGAGGTTTGGCGCGAGGTACATCGTCATGACGTCGACGCCACAGACGGTAGCACCGCAGGGCTCGCCGTTGGCGCGTTGTTGAACGCCGGGCTGTAGTCGGAGGTCAATGAAGTAGTCGTCGTCGTTGTCGACGTCACGCTTGACGTAAATTCCCACACCGCCCGCAGGTCGTTGGAACCCGTGCGTGCGCGCGACCGAAGCGTATCCCGCAACGTCGACGTTATTGGCGTTCCACGTCTCGGTGAAGCAAAGCACGTTTACTCTGCGTAGTACGGGATCTCGCACGACGTCAACCGGGTGAGCGCCTAGCGACCGGGTGTTGTGCTGCTGCTCGACGCTGACGTCTCTCAGCGGCCTCACGTTCTCTAGGTTGAGCATCTTCCGCTCGACGCCGACGTTTACGTTCGGCGTCGCGAGCTCTTCTCCGCGCTGCCTTGTCTTCGGACGACGACTTGGTTGCGGTTCCGCCAACACTTTGGCCGGGGCTGGTCGAAGGGACGTCGATCATTGCGACCTCGGACGTTGACGCGCCGTACAAACCAACCGACGAGCGGCAACTGAGCGAGCGAGCACCGACCTTGAGTATATATACAGCGCGACGGCGCATGCACTGTCAGCTGTCGAATGTTCGAGAAGGGGGAGAAGCGCAACGGCGCATGCGCGCGCGTCAGCTGCCGATGTTCTCGAAGCGCGACGGTGCATGCGCGCGCGTCAGCTGCCGATGTTCTCGAAGCGTGACGGCGCATGCGCGCTACATTATACAGCTAGCGAATGTTCGTGAAGAGGAGAAGCGCACGCGGTGTGTAGAGGAGGAAGGGTGCACAGATGGTGGAGGAGTGAAGCGCGCGCGGTGTGTAGAGGAGGAAGGGATGCACAGATGGTGAAGAAGGAGGAGGAAGCTTGCGGACGGCGCCGCACTACAAGCCTCGAGTATTAGATGCTCCGCATCTAAAAGTCTTTGACGTAAGCAGTGTTTTGCGAAGTTGAAAGATCTTTGAGACGTTTGGCACCGCAGACACGGCACCAAACGTCTCAATTTAGTGTTTTCTTTCGAAGACGCTAACGAGAGTGTGGCGCAAGCAATTAAGAGAGGAGCAATAAAAAATATAACAATGTATCTCGAATACAAATGAATTACTCGTTGCGTTTCTCGTTTCTTCAAATAGGTTTATTAAGAGCACAGGAAGAAACCCCGATGGGAAGTTTGTTGCACTAGTTGAGGAAGCGTTCGAGTACGTGTACAGGTCCGTCTGACCCCACAGGTCTTTTATTTACATAGACCAAATTTGGTATTACAGTACGTGATTGGATGACGAAGGTATGTAACTGGTGCAAACATGATAATCATAAGATGAGTGTCATGTAACAACATGACTACATGCCACACTCATGATGTGCTGGCGGCCATTTCGCTATAGCTTCACATATACCAAATTGGGTATTACAGGACGTAAATGAATGACGAAGGTATGATACTGGCGCAAACACGATAATCACGATATGCGTGTCATGTAACAACATGACGACATGCCACACTCATGATGCGCTCG